CCGTGGATGTCGGCAAGCAGGACAGTCACACTGGCGCCGGCGCGGAGGAAAGTCTGCCAGCTTAAGGGCAGCAACGAAGTCTAGCCATGTCAGAGAGCGCAATCAGAGCGACCAATGGCTTTCCTTACAGCCAGTATGAGGCCGACCAGTTGTCCGCGGTGCCTACAAAGCGATTAGTACAAGTTGCGCCCAGCTCTAGCATCAACCATACCCCCAGTAAATGTTGGGCTCGCGACCCTCATCGTAGACCTTCTCGAGGATATCGACATCGAGGGCCTCGGCGAGGTTTCGCGTGATGAGCTTGAGCTTCCTGCTCCTTTGTGAGGTCCGCCATGCTGTATGAAGTGATCGCTGTCGGGCGCGAGAGGTAGGCTTCTGGTGGTCTGTCACGGAAGGTTGAGTCACTTCCAATCGTCACCGCGAAAATCATGGAGGGGCAGCACCGCGGGGTCTAGCGCGGGGCGGCTCCCCGCCCCGATAGATGCAAAGGGGTTTGGGACCTGGACAACGGCGCTAACCGTTTCGGGGCACATGGCGTCACTGGTCCGTGTACCTCGAGCACCCCGACACTGCCTTTTATGAATGTAACGATTCTCTGGCATCAGAACCGACCTGCATCAACGCCACGATGAGAACATCAGGGGCAGCATGTCGATCAAACCGCTCCCTCCAGAAGCTGTGAAACAGATCAGATCATCTGTAGTGATCACGTCTCTCAATGAAGCCATTGTCGGTCTCATCAAAAATTCACTAGATGCGAGGGCGAGGAGGATCAACGTCACTGTCGACTATTCTAGAGGAAACTGCGTCGTCGAAGATGATGGTCAGGGCATACCGCCTCACGAGTTCTCGGAGAACGGAGGGCTCGGGAGATTACATCGTACGTCTTATCTACATTTGTCTCTTGCTCCGTACTGACTTTGTAGACACATCGCGCTATCCCCGGGGAGATGATACGTTTGGCGCTCATGGGGACTTCATTGCCTCACTAGCAGCGTTATCGTTATTCTCTATCACGTCTCATCACAAGTCTCACAAATCACATAACACCTTGACCTTTCGCAATGCTGAGTTGTTGGTTCGAAACACACCAGCAAAACCAGAGCACCAGATTCAGACCTTCAGCCATGGTACTCGTGTTTGTGTCCGAGACCTATTCGGAAACATGGCAGTCAGAGTCAAGCAGCGGCCTTCTACCATGGACAAGACAGCTCTTGACAGGGACTTCAACAACTTGGTCCACGACGTGGTCGCTGTGTCGCTCGCATGTGCCGCTGATGTCAATTTGCACGTTCGGGACTCAGGCGCCCGGAACACAGTCCGACTTCGTCCGTCACCCGCAGACACCAGCGTCAACGATCCTCCAACTCGGATCTCAAGGGTCCTGGTGCAGTCCGGTCTCGCAGATGATGTCTCGTACGGCACATGGGTTGCTGTGGGTGGCTCGACAAGCAGTCTCTCTGTCAAGGGTTCCATTTCCCTGAACGCAGTAGCGACACGTCGAGCCCAGTTCATCAGCTTTGGTATTCATCCGATGGCAGGGGGTCAGGGATATGGATCCCTATACGAAGACGCAAATCGTGTCTTTGCCAACTCGGATTTCGAGAATGACAAATTTTCAGAGTCTCAATCCAAGGATACCATGCCGCGCAAAGATCTGAAGTCAAAGAGAGGGTTAGAACGTTGGCCCATGTTCTCTTTCCGGGTGGAAAGTACTGCCCCTTCGCCGCACAATCGATCCTTTGAAGACATACTGGAACAGCCCCGGAGATTGTCTCAAATATCCGATCTGATCAAGATTATATGCTTCGAATTCTTGAAGAAACACCAATTTCGTCCTCGGGCACTGTCGTCGGGACGCAACTTGAAGCGGCAAGCCTCTCGCAGCGACAGCACGACCATCGCCAAGCGTGCTAAGACCGCGTCCTCGTCCCAAAGTCGTTCTAGAACTTCGACACCTGCTCCGAGAACCGCATCGCCATTCGACCTCTGGGAAAGAGTCAAAGTTGGCAAAGCACGGCAGTTGATGCCCAAGCTCAATGCTTATGAGGCCCAGTCGTTGCCGTTGCCGCTCATACCGCCAGTCACGGTTCTCGAAACCCCCCGAGCGCCTGGTGGGAGAAGCCCCTTCGTCGATAAAGAGGGGCGGCTACTTGAGAAGCCATTTCACGAGATCGGTCTGCCGCCATCTCTATCGAAGCAAGATTCTCGAGGCTTGCAGCCGCCTGTCATCAAAAACACCCCTAAAGAAGCTGCCGAAAGGCTTTCGGGTGAGAATCAAAGTGATGTCCATCTGTCAGATACTAGGCCTCTTTCAGTGCAGACCGACGGAATGTCAAAAGTCTTCTCAAAATGCATCCGCATTAGAAGAGACAAGACTTGTGAAGAGCCGAGCGAGTGGCTCAGTGGCCTTCTTGGATCGTGGAAGAACCCAGTATTTCCAGCCACCGAGGCTCCTATCCACCACATGGAGGAGGTCACAGCCACTGCGGGTACTGAAGTCAAATGCGGCGGCCATGGCTTGGGAAGCTCCTCGGTCGAAATGTCGTCGATAAAGCTACAGGGACAATTGTCCAAGCAAAGTCTACGCGACGCCGACGTGGTCTCTCAGGTTGACAAAAAATTCATACTCGTCAAGTTGCGACAAGAAACAAGCTCGAAGTTTTTCCGTGAAGCAGGCAATAACACAATGCTAGTTGTTGTTGACCAGCACGCCGCAGATGAACGGTGTAAACTGGAGGCATTGATGAAGGGATACTTTGTCCTGGATAACAATGCCGTCCTCAGAGCCGAGACCATGGTACTGAGCGCCCCTCTCACGTTTGAGCTGAGTAGCAAAGAGTGTGAGCTACTCCGACGGCGCACCAGCCACTTCGAGGACTGGGGAATAATCTACATCATCACATCAACGGCTCAGACCTCAGGATCGGCCCAGCTTTCTACCATTGAAGTACGTAGTTTGCCACCAAGTATCCTCAAGCGCTGCATGGATGAGCCAAAGCTGCTGGTGGACCTCTTGAGGCACGAGGTCTGGAGACTAGAAGAGAGAAGACACATGCACTCCACTGTATCCTTATAGAGCCAGGAATGCGAAT